AAAAAGCAATTACTTCTCTTAATTATTATTTTTTTGTAAAGTGCTTACTTATGAATGACATTGTATAAAAAGGAAATGTATTTAAAATTAATAATATAAATTCGAAAAAAAACATGAAAATAAACATAACACGAGACACCATAACTTACATACAAAGCTTTCATGGTTTATATTCTTTTGAACTACTAGAGCACGGGTTCCCAACCTGGGGGTCGCGACCCCGCGAAGGGCTTTCTGGGGGGTCGCCAACTGGTATACTAAACCTTAGTAATTTGAAACAAAACATAAATATTTAGAAGAATTTTTGAAATTCGGCTTTACTAACATCACTGGAAGAAGCAAAGCGTACTGTACAAAGTTGTTCTCAGTCACGAGTTTATGAAATCTTCAAAACTAAAACGTCATTTGACATGAGTCATTCGAAACACACCAAAAAAGATATGGAGTTCTTTCGTCGGTAAGAAGCTAGTTGCAAACGCCAGAGACTTGATCGAACAGGAAGTTTTCACCAAGGAAACACAGCATTAGTGCAAACATCACATGAAGTCGCGACAGAAAATGCCAAGCAAAAAAAAAAACACAATAGGAGAACATCTCATCAAACGCTGCATGTTGAAGATGGTGAAGTTAATTCTTACATGTCCGTAGATGTTAAATAACACATTTTTATTGAAATCAAGCTTTCACCATTGTTTGCTTTTCAAGTTGATAAATCAACAGACGCGAGTTCGTGTTCGCAGTTGCTGGTCTTTGTCTATATTTATTCAGATGATAGCAAAGAAGAGTTGCTCTTTTGTGAAGATAGCATGGAGAAAATAAAAACGTTTTTTTTAAAAATTGGATTATTAAAATGGGTTAAAACGGCTGTGAGGGTTTGTACGGATGGTGCACCATCTATGGTTAGGTCAAAATCGGGCTTTCAGAAAGCAGAAAAGATTTAGCTCCCTAACCACTGCCCTCACCAATCGCCATTAAGAGTCCATTGCTAGTATAAGTCGTAAATTATATAAAATCTGGAGCCTTCAAAGAACTGAGCAAAGACCTGAATAAAGATCACGAGGTTCTACTCTTCTACACTACAGTGCGCTGGCTGTCAAACGAATTGTTGTAAATCGTGGTTTTTAATTGAAATCTGAAATCAAATTGTTCTTGGAAATGCAAAGGAAACAAGACCTCTTGGTATACTTAAAACGACATAGAGTGGTTGGAGAGAGTATCATACCTAGCAGATGTGTTCGTACATCAACATAAGCATAACCTGAAGCTTCAGGGAAAATGAACGAATATTATCACTTTCCATGATAATCTCGGGGCATTTTTATCAAAGCTGCAAAATCGGCGAAGAAAATAAATCTTGGAAATATTGTTAATTTGAGAAACTCTGCAGTGTGGTAGATGAATCTAATTGTGAGATAATTAAAATTTTGAAAGAAGAAATTTCAAGGCATCTTGAATCTATTGAAAACGAACTGCAGCGCTATTTCTCTGAGCTGAAAAAAAAAAGAATCTGTATTGACGCATTATCCATTCTCTTCTTCCCTTGATGTTGTCAGCATTCCAGTGAATTACAAGATGAATTCTTTGATTTGTAGAATGATTCCGCGTAAGATGAAAAACTTCAGACACAATTTTGGTGTAGTATTAACCGTTTATATCCAAACGTAAAATTGATTGACTTTTCGAGAATATAATTTTATTTTGAACACTATTTTTCAATTAAAAACAAAATTAAGATAATGATAATGACATAGGTTGGCGTTAACAAAAAAATACTTTTAAAAAAATTAACCGCGAATGTTAGTTAATAGTATGCAATTTTTACTCATGGTATTAAAACAGTTATCAAGAGTAGTTCATATTGAAAGTCTACTAGAAAATCTTATTTTAGTGCTTATTATTTCCATACAAATTTCGGCTTTTTAATTCTATGGGGGTCGCGGGTCACTTAATTTCTATAAAAGGGGGTCGCCACTCGAAAAAGGTTGGGAACCACTGTACTAGAGGTTTAGAGGTGTTATAGCAGAGATAAAATTAAACTGATTTTTACAAAACTCACTAATGCACTTACACACATGACATGATGTTGTAATTTGTTTTAATTGAAAAAAAAACACATTTTTTTCAAAACTCGAACTGGCCAGCAATGAATACCCTATGCTTATATATATATATATATATATATATATATATATATATATATATGTATATATATATATATATATGTATATATATATATATATATATACATAAATATATATATATATATATATATATATATATATATATATATATATATATATATATATATATATATATATATATATATATATATATATACATATAAATAAATAAATAATTAAATAAATAAATAAATAAATAAATAAATATATATATATATATATATATATATATATATATATATATATATATATATATATATATATATATATATATATATATATATATATGGGGGGCCCTAAAAATATTTTTACGGGGTGGCCCTTTTTTTCTAGTTCCGCCACTGCCACTAACATCCCCTCTCACCCTTCTCCTACTAACATCCACTCTCACCCTTCTCCCACTAACATCCCCTCTCACCCTTCTCCCACTAACATCCCCTCTCACCCTTCTCCCACTAACATCCTTTCTCACCCTTCTCCCACTAACATCCTCTCTCACCCTTCTCCCACTAACATCCCGTTTCACCCTTCTCCCACTAACATCCCCTCTCACCCTTCTCCCACTAACATCCCCTCTCACCCTTCTCCCACTAACATCCCCTCTAACCCTTCTCCCACCAACATCCCCTCTCACCCTTCTCCCACCAACTTCCCCCTAACCCTTCTCCCACTAATTTCCCCCTCACCCTTCTCCAACTAACATCCCCCCCTCACCCTTCTCCCACTAACATCCCCTCTCACCCTTCTTCCACTAACATCCCCTCTCACCCTTCTCCCACTAACATCCCCTCTCACCCTTCTCCCACTAACATCCCCTCTCACCCTTCTCCCACTAACATCCCCTCTCACCCTTCTCCCACTAACATCCCCCCCTCAACTTAATCTTTGTTTGTCAAATTGAGTCATTAAAACTGATGCATCGTGGTAAGGTAAAGACGGAGAGGGTGAGATGGAGAGTAATAGAGAGAAATATAAAGTGAGGTTAACTTAAGAAAGATGAAAAGGACAGAGAGATGGGGGATGTGATAAAGTACGTAGAGAAGTATGCAGAGCTGGATAGAGGTAAAGATAGAGGAGGAGAGAGGGAAGAACAAACGTCAGGAAAGTTATAGAGATGTTAAAGATAAAATAAAAACACATCAAATGATAAAAAAGAACACGCCTGTGAGTACCAGAGTCACAAAATAGATCAAACCCAAAGTTGCTGTTATACTCATCTTGCTGGTTTTGTTGTTGAGTAAGGTCGAAAACTTGAGTAGACCTTTAATCCTATGTCCCCGGCTTTACCTTTTATCCTTTGTCATCGGTTACAACTTTAATTATGTGTCACCGCATTGACCTTTAACTAAATTATATGTCACCGGATTGACCTTTAATCATGTGTCATTAACTTTATAGAGACAGATAAGTAAATTACAGGATAAAAAGCTCTACACACCTTCACCTCAGTAGGCGCTCCCATTCCCGGAAGACTGTAACAAAAATTAACCTAAGTTATTCGAAATAGGGACGGCCACGACTTACACTGACCGGATACTCAGCCGGCCGCGACACCTTGACGAGTTATGTTTTCCACTTTTAGTTTTATATCTGTGCTGTATATACATTTTGTTTGCGACTAACACACCTTTGTAGTGGGAAGGGGGTGGGTTAAGTGTTATGGGCGATATGTTTTTGTACACGATCTTGTCTAGACCTGATTAGTATAACGAATAACCGCTAAATGCTTTCATGTTTTAAATAAAAAAGCGAGAGTGATCTCCCCTAAACTTTCTTGAATATTTTTTATGTAACACTATTGTGGATGGCCCCTAATAGCCGTCACTAATTCGATCAAGCTCTACGATTGTAAACATTTGGCGTGAACCACAACTCACCAGCTGGAGAGCGAGGATGGGTGCGGGAGAAGGGTTATATAGTCGGTTAGCGTCCACGAAGAGAAATATATATATATATATATATATATATATATATATATATATATAGTCATGTGATGTGTTGACTGCATTTAGCAGAATTTAATTACAAAAAAGGTGCTAATTTGTTTATAAAATGTTAATTTAAATTCTATTTTACTATTTTAGATTTAGAAATTTATAATGGCTAAAAAAAAAGAATTAAAAACGTTTGTGACCGTAAGATTTTAAGTGCTATGAAAGTGAGTGAATAGGTAGCGCATTTTGCGTATAAAGATAATATGTTGCAGGTAGTAATGGTTTGAAAATGTATCTGTAAAAGAAATTACTTCCGGTTGATTAATGTTTTGAATTATCTTTGTGTAAAATTAGAAATTTAGACCAACGGATGCAAAAAAAGCTCAGGAAAATAATTACGCACACAGAAAAATGCGCAAACAGAAATTTGGGCACACAGAAAAAGAATCAAAGAGAATATTACGCACACAGAGAAATGCGCAAATAAGGAAATTACACACAGAACATGACACATAGATCTCTTGGAAATTATGAGTCCGACAATGTGTGTTTGTGTGTTTATGCGTGCGTATTTAAGTTTGTTTGTATGTGTGTATACATAAATATTATCTGCTTATTTTTGTATATTTTAAATTAAAAAAGACAAATGCCACCGCTCTTTCTAAAATGCATCGAAACAAAAATGCTAAGATTTTCCTATCATAATACACAGATGCCGTAGGACCAACATAACAAAACAACACCAAGTCCAATGCCGAAAACCAGCGCCAGAAATTAAAAACATACGTTAGAAACCAACACCTCATGTCAACATCACAGTCCAACAACGCACGTCATCCTCACAGACCAATATCAAAACACTCGTATAACTCATAAGAAGAATTGATTCATTAATGTAGTGATTTATTTTACTATTAAGTTAAAAATAATCTATTTATCATCTTTAAAACTCGACATAAAAACATTTGGATCCAATGCCTCTGAAATTATTTGAACAACGAATGCGCCATGTTAAAAGTTTTAGTTCACAATTGTGTAACAGAGATAGTTTTGACAATGGTCCAGTCTGGCTCACTCGTGGCGATCCAGTTGTTCCAGTTGATCTGGTACTGTGGTAGAAGTAAAACGGTTGATAACGATGATATAACATAATAATATTACGTTTTTAATTATTGTAGGTAAAATACATTACTTGTTTAAGATCTAATGATCCATATGCAAAATAAGTATAATTTCAATGTTTCTAGTCCTAGGCATTTGGAGGAATGGCTTGTAAAGCACTATGCCAGCCGCCTTTACTTTCCCCAATATGTAGTCAGGAGTCTGGACCGCGATCTGAAGTCGAGACCTTCGGGCAAGCAGTCTAGCGCTCCACCACATTACCATATATTTAAAAGACGAAGACTTTTGTTGTAATCAGCACCTTTTCTCCCATTTTATAAATAGGATGGATGAAAGTGTGTCCAACTCAAGAACCAAACCCTATCTTCAGAATAAAGCTGTTGACTGGCAGCAGGAATATACCGGTCCCACAGACTAGCAAAATTATTTTACTAAGGCAGTTCTCTTGAATTCTAAATGCATTAAACTATCACTAGTACATTTTTTTCATAGCTATATCTTAGTGTTAAAAACAATGTAGCAAATAGTTTTTACGTATAATTATAACCTTTAAGAAATGTTATGGCCAATGGTTGCTAAAATTAAGCTACTCAGATTAACGTACCTCAACACTAGGTGTCACGTGCTGAGTAATGTGCACCTGAAGAAAATAGCGAAATAAAATATTTAGCACAATAAAACAACTCAATTTAGAAGCTTAAGGTTAGTCCACAACTTCTTTTGTCGGTTTCTAAATCTCTCTTTAAGGGGATTTAGTGAACAGTGCTTTTGCCGATTTCGGGCTTTGAAATGTGGTAAGCGAAACACGGATATTTTAAATAATAACTTTTATCTATTTTATACACTGAACGTACTGTTTACGAATTATTATTTTTAATCAATAACAGGTTAGAAGCCGCTACTAATAGTCCTATATGTTAATTCTATCTTTCAGTTTGCAGGCAAGCTGGGGGTATGATAGCAGTTCACTAAATAATGCAGGCACGTCCGCCGGACCCCCGGTGAAATACGTTTGTTTTAAACAGTGAGACAGACTATGGATAAGAAAGGTCACTATATGGGGGTATGCTACGGAAAAAAAACGGCGAAAAATCTTTTTAATTACTAAACCTTTTTTATTATTTGTGTATGTATACGTTAGGGTACTTAAAGGAATATGTTTGCTTGTACCAGGAAAATATGGTTGCCATGGCAACGGCGGCCATCTTGGAAAAAGCTACCTTTTGTGGAGTTCTAAAATTTCATAAAGTAACAAATAAACCGCCCATATAATCATTGATTCTTCTTGTACTGACACTAATAGAGTCAGCTGGCTAGTTTGTGTAACAGAAAAAAACGCTAGAAATATTTTTTTTTAATCTTTAAAGTTTTTTTATGGTGAAAAATCATTAAATTTAGTATTAATTTCAATGAAATTTCACCATACCAAATTTTTAAAATTAAAAAAAAAAAAATTCTAGAGTGCTTTCTGTTACAAAAACTAGCTAGCTGACTCTATTAATGTTAGTAGAAGAGAAATTAATGATGATGTATCCGATATATATGTTAGTTTATGAAATTTTAGAACTCCACAAAATACTTTTTTTGTTTTTCAAACATATTTTCAAAAGAGTCCCTGATGCCTGCAAATATTTTCCTTTAAGTTTCCTAACTTGGATACCCAAAAATAAATAAAAAAGTTTCAATTTAGAAGTTGGTTTTTTCTAGAGCCTAACCCCTAAACTAAATCAAATACTGGCGTCCTATGGTGCCCCAACAGAGTGCTATTTGGCGCCCCGGGCTTTCTCACTGTGTTAATGTATGTGTGTTATAGCTAGGTTGATAACATTTCATGTATAAGTAATAGAATCTACATCAAATTTGTAGTTCGGTATCAACGTTTCAGCGATTTGCCTTAAGGAATACAAAAAGGTGTTAATGTATGTGTGTCTGTGAATAAAATAATTTGGGTACCGTTACAGCTAGGTTGATAAAATTTCATGTATAAGTAATATAATCTACATCAAATATGTAGTCCCGTATCAACGTTTCAGCGATTTGCCTTAAGCGGAAGTGGAACTTATGATACTTTAAATTTTTCAAAAGCCTAAAACTTCGGTACTGTTTCACTTATATGTAATAGAACTAATTGTCTGTTATCTTAAAAACAGTTAATATTTTCCCTTGACCGAAATTTTTGCTTAATTTTTTAAGATTTCTCGAAACATACATAAGAATTTATAAAGTACTAATGTTCCCTATTATTACACACGCAACGCTTGCAGTTTAGTTGGTGCGCATTTCTTTTTTTACAAGATACAATTTTATACTAAACATTAAAGTAAGTAAAAATTGATTATTCCCAGTTGCGGTCCCCCGTACTGTTATATAAGAATATTCGAGAAAGTTTAGTGGAGAACACTAAATTTGATGAATGTGGATTGAGAACTTTAGCTTGATTAAAATAAGCCCTCTATGTTCAGTGTATGTTCAAGTACTGAGAAGTCAATCGGTGTAGACTGGAAAATTCAAGTGATTTTTGTGCACGATTACATTAATTTCTCTATATCTTGTATACGAGAAATTGTAAAGTCAACATAAAACTCACACTCTCTAGAAACCAGCCTGGTTTCCATCCAGCGTTGTCGTGTCCAATCGTAATTGATTTTATTTGTCCTACATTTTCTTCAGTGCCCTAAAAAATGAATCAATTTTCATATATTAGGATAATAAATCGTTTTTTTAATCTAGTTGTTTAAAAATTCTAAAATTTAATAATATGGTCTACATTAAATATAATGTTTAGAAATATTTTAGTTTGCTACATTTTTTGTACGGTAAATTAATGACAGTACATCAAGCTATATAGGACTGCAATTGTATGCACTTCGAAATCACCATTGCATGCCACTGTTTGTTAATATACTTCAGTAATGATCCCATAATTCTCTTATTATTGAAAATATGCACATTTTGTCCATTTATTAGTTTTGTATAACAAAAGACAGTATTTATGCAATAAAATAGAAGCCATCAGGTAGGCGAAACCGTCCGAAAAGACCAATACACTCACTGTCTTAAGTGACCACCCACTCGCTGCCGCCCCTATAGTGTCTAAAATGACTAGCCCATTCACTGTCCCTATACTATCTTGAATGACAAACACACTCACTGCCGCTGTACCGTCTTAATTGACCAACCCACTCACTGTCTTAAGTGCCCATTTACTTTTTTGATTGACCAACTAACTCACTTCACCTATACTGTCCTAACTGACCAACCCACTCCCCAACTGACCCACCTACTCACCCAGAATATGTCCTTGGATCCCTGCTCAAAACTACCAACCATGTACGGTAGAATATACTTGTCGGTGGACCCTCTAGTTCCGTGCAGAATAATGAAAACGTGCGCATCGGTCCCAGCGCCCCGAACATCACCTGTTTTAATTGTTATTGTATACCGGATACGCTCTGTAAATCCTGGTGACAAAGATCATCCTAATTTTATTATTGTTTACAGGGAGAGCTTAAAGAAAAAAAAGTATTTTGACAATTTGGGCATGTATAAAAAAGATCGATGATGTTATGTTTCACTTTATCTCACATGTGTGATACAAATTGGATTTGAAAATATTACATTTTTAAATAAGACAAATAAAAATTAAATGTTCAATTAAAAGTAATTTTTTAGAAAGTTTCAAAACTAACCTGATTGAAATAACATCAGCACACAAAGCAAACCAAAGGACGATGTGATGCTCATCTTCTTTGTGTAGTTGTTGGAAACGGTCTTAAAGTCGTTTTGGCTTTCAATCCGGTGTGAATTATCTGGCCCTACAGCCAAGCTTTATACAGTGACAGGCGAGAAAAGACCAGGATGTAAAGTTCGCTGAGTGCAACGTTTGTTTTTATCATACAGTAATTGCCACTTTTAAATATTTCTTCAACGTTGCTATAAAATGGGCTATCTAGTTAGCGATGCTGTAAAATGGGCTTATCTAGGTAGAAAATTAATTAGCTGGGATTGTTGGCTGGCAAAGTGTATTTAATAAAGACATGTTTGTTAATAAAAAAATTAACATATAAACGTAACCTGCTTGGATATGAAATACTTATTTGTGTTAATGTTTATGTTCAGTGTTTTTGTTTGTGCTAGTGGTTGTTGTTGAGAAACGTTCAAAAAGCACTGTTAGATGAACGTTTGAGAAGCACTGATCGAAGATAGTTTGAGAAGCACTGTGTTAGAAGAAAGTTTTAGAGGCACTGTGTTATAAGAAAGTTTGAGAAGCACTGTGTTAGAAGAACTTTTGAGAACCTTTTCGCTAGAATAAAACAAGCAACGCATCATTTTTTAAGGCCACTAAAGTGACGTACGTTACCCAAACGTTAAGTTCTAAGAGTCATTCTTGACAATGGTAAAAAAAAAAAATCTCCTTAATAACGAAAAGGGAAATCTCACTCGCCCGGAAATAACTTAAAACAAGTTTATATTTTGTTTGTTTATATTACAGAATATGGCAGCAGAATATGGCAGAATAATTAGGGACGGAGTATTTTAGAGTCATAGCGACCCCATTCATGAGCCCGGGGAAAAAGATCAATTTTTTTCCCTCTACCATTTTTAGAATATTGTTCACGTTGTATTAGCGGTTGTGATTGTAAACAGTTATAAAAGCGCTATGTTGGAAGAAAGTTTGAGAAGCGCTGTGTTAGAAGAAAGATTGGGAAGTTCAGTGTTAAAAAAAGATTGAGAAGCACTTTGTTAAAAGAAACTTCGAGAACCTCTGCGTTAGAATAAAACAAGCAACTCATCATTTTTAAGGCCGAGAAATTGACGTACGTTACCGAAACGTTAAGTGCTTTGTTGACTTATGCATGGCAAATAAACTACTTAAAAATTATTTTATTAAAAAGGATGTCCTGTTTGTATAGCAGAATAATTACGGACGGCGTGGTTGGATGGGAGAGCGCTGGCTAGTAGCTTTAAATTTCCGAGGTCAAATACCAGTCAGTTAAGTTTTGTTATGGGGGAAAAACAATCAAAACTAAAAAAAAATTGATAGAAGTAGAGCCCCTACGGCAGCAGGATCAGCAACTCTGGCTTTCTTTCAGTAACTTCTAATGATTAGCTTTCCTTGGACTTTACAAAAAAAGGTCAAGTGGCGATGACTGTGAGGGCATCATAATCTCTTTACCTAATCCCCTGGCTAACACCCAGAAGATCTCACTTTTACTTCCATTGTATCCTGCTGCAAAAATTCAGTCTAATCTTAACCCTTCATTTCATATTGTATCAATTTTGATACAAAATGAAATAACCCCCATTTAATCAACACAAATGTTAAAATCTGATTTTTTAATATGCCATACTCTAGCTTGATCACTTTTGACCCATATTCATACCCGAAACAGATTATAGGTGTGTTTCGTCTCACACAATTCGAGTTTCATTCCGTTTTTTTATAGAAGCAGAGCCCCTATGGCAGCAAGATCAGTTACTCTGGCTTTCTTTCAGCAACTTCTAATGATTAGCGTTTCTTCGACTTTACAGGCAAATGTCAAGTGGGGACTACTGTGCGGACAAGATTGTCTCTTTATCTAATACCTTCACCAGATGATCTCACTTCTATTTCCATTGTCTCCCGATGCGAAAATTCAGTCTAATCTAAAGTATATTAACACTGTTCAGTCATTAAAATCAAAATAATGCAAAATAAATTATATAATTCAATACACCAGGCAATGTAAAGTAGATTTGATAAAGTTACAGTTACAATTACATGTAGTGCACGAAACTTGTCATTCAATGAAGTTGACGTACAAACTGTCGCAAAGCATCGATTCTTAAGGAATAGATGGTAGGCATTCCGTAAAATGCTTAGGGATTCTTAAGAACTCATAAGCTTAGTAGTATACTATTTAAATTATTCGAGTTATTTCGTAGTTTGCCTACTAATACCATATATACACTTGTTACTTGCCTTGACTCTTTTAACGTGTATATAGAACATATCTATGATGGGGTAATTACCATGGGGCAAACCGATAGGGGATGAAAGAATGAGGATAGGTTAATAAAAAGGAATTATTCCTGGAGAGGTAATGATAGGTGGGGAATAACATGCAGTCAACTGGAATTAATGAACTATTATACTACCGATCTCACAAGAACATATATATATATATATATATATATATATATATATATATATATATATATATATATATATATATATATATATATATATATATATATATATATATATAACCCACTAGTGGAAAGACAAGATCTTGTAAGAATATTAAAAACAATGTAATGTTAATAAAATACTTTTAAAAAACTTTTTAAAAAACCACGTTTTTCTTGTGGACTAAAAAGTAGAAAATAACTATTTACATACATTTGATGACAAAAAACGTGGGTAAGTTCACCATCAAATTTCCCGACCCATCTGCCCGACCCACGTTTTTTGTCATCAAATGTATGTAAATAGTTATTTTCTACTTTTTAGTCCACAAGAAAAACGTGGTTTTTTAAAAAGTTTTTTTAAGTATTTTATTTTCTCCTTTTTAGTCCGTTGCTACACATGAAAAACGTGTTTTTTAAAAAAGTTTTTTATGTAGTTTATTTTCTACTTTATCTAATGACTTGATTAAGTATGACTTGACTAAGTGTTTATAAATACACGGACTAAAAATCTTGAGCGACCAGGATTCGAACCTGGGTTGTCGCGGCCACAACGCGAAGTACTAACCACTATACGATCACGGCCAGCGCGCTCACATCGATTGGGGCCGAAGTAACTGTGTCAATAGGCCTCCAGTCTTGTCGGTATCTTTAGAAATCATGTCCTCAATTTTATGGTCCTTAGGGCGTAATTAAATTAAGCTAATTACGGTCTCTAATTGCTAGTTTTTATGATTGCATCTGAAATTGTTAGGCGAAAGTAGCCTGCATGCCAAATTTCAGATCTATAGAGCAATCAGAAGTGGGCTAATTTTCGATGTCAATTTTAACAACAAACAAACACACGCGAAGCTGAGTTAATAAAAACGTGTTAAAAATATTTCTATTTTATAATACATCGATATATTTAACTTTACATCGATATATATGAGTTTTATTAATAGCTCTAATAATTATATTCTATGAAAGCCTTCACAATTCCCTCGTTGAATGCACTCATGAAAAGGTTTCTTACTCATATTTGTTTTAAAATATAGGTCACATTGAGTTGCCCAGCGGCTATTTTAGCACTTGAGATCAGTTGACCTCACCCTTTAATTTCCACTCCTCTGTCCCCCCCCCCCCCCCCCCCGTCCTGTGAAAGCAGCCCTCCATGACCATAGTTTACAGACGACAATAAAAAAGATCAAGCAGAACTTGTTATTACCTCCCCTTAGTTCAAAATCGTTTAAAAACTAAATTATCAGCCCCTAATAGCCGTCACTAATTCGACCCGGCACTACGATTGTAAACAGCTCAACAGAGTGGGAGGGGGGTATTGATATGATCTGTTGAGCTTACGCCGTAGTGGTGTCCAGCATGGTCCGCCCATGAAGAGAATCTTTATATAGATTCGCAGTTCTGTATTAACTTTTTTTTGTCTGCTGTTCATTTGGTGCGCAATTACTTTTCAACAACATTCTATTCTATTTTAATTACAAGCTTTTATTTATTTTGCAACGTGTGTTTGTTTGTTTGTTAGTGGGTTTGTGGCAAATATTAAAACTCATTTTTGACCCATTTCAAATGCAGCGATTTCGTTCAAACTTTTCAGACACGTTCCACAAACAATCGTATTTTATTTATCGCGAGCTACTGATGGTGTTTTAAAGCAAATATTTTTGGTCGCGTAGACGTCATCAATTAGGAATCACTAAAAAGTAAAAAATAAAGTTTAAGAAACAGTTTATAGGAACAAGTTTTTAAACGCACTTAAAATAAAATAATAAAACTAATCTGCTTTTTTTTAAATAAAAAGATTTCTAATTTGTTTATAAAAAGTTAAATTCTATTATAAGTTTTAAAAATTCTTATTGCCAAAAAATAAAAGAAAAACCCCATAAGATTGTGACCTTAAGATTTTAAATGCTTTGAAAATGTGTGAATAGTTAAAATAATTTTGTTTGTGTAGTAGTAGAAATTCATACCAACGGAAGCAAATTGTGAGCGACAAATCTATTTTTTTTAAATTCCTCAGTTTTGCTCATTGACTGCAGTGAGAGTCTGGGGCGTAATATGGTACCAGAAAGATGCGCAACTGAAAAATGTGCAGCAGGGGCGGAACTACAGTGCCGCCAGACCCCGCAAAGCGGGGGGGGGGGGGGGGCACGTCATTTAGGGGCCCACAGCCGACCATAAAAATTTTTTTATAGTTTTTAAAAAAAATCAAATTTTCTTGCATTTTTGACTTGATGGTTGTTTTGTAAAACGATTACCGTAGCTGCGGTTTTATTATCTTTATTCTATAGACACCACCCCATGCTATTGTATATTCTTTTTCCTTTTGTTTTAAAACTATTATGAAAGCCGAGTCCTCACTCTCCTACAATTAAACTAAACAAAGAAAAGCAAACGTTCAAACCACTTCCATGACTTATTTCCCTTTTTTAAATAATCAAATAGGGGTGCTCATAAGCTCCTTTTAATAGATTTGTACTTAACGAATTAGAAAGCAATTACTTCTCTAAATTATTTTTTATATAAAGTACTTACTAAAGAATGACATTGTATAAAAAGGAAATGTATTTAAAATTAATAATATAAATAAAAAAAACATTTAAAAAATCATAACACGAGACACCATTCCTTCTACAAAGCTTTCATGTTTTATATTCTTTTGGCCGACAAATTGTTAAGAGGACCTATAGCGCACGCTACATATGTTTTGGAGGTGAAGGCTCTAGACAGGGACCTGGAAAAGGCTGGCTTTGAGAGACTCCTTGGACAGACCAACGCTATCCATTCACAGAGAGGTCGTCATGAAATGAAGGTCGGCGACAAGGTCATCCTTCTGAAGAGGTCGTCCTGCTTCTGTCCTAGAGTCACCCCGGGAGAGAACTACCTGATGCTTCTGTCGGATTCCAAGAGATTCAAAGACGCAGACGGTCATCAAATCTACGCCTTCCTCCTGGACAAGAAAGTGTTCGTCATCCAGCACCTAAAGCCTCGCGGTCTGAGCGGGAGTCAGAAGGAAATTGTCAAGGTCGTCAAGAGGGTTCTCAAGCGGCTGGAACGCCGGGGCTGCGGGCCCCACAAGTCTGTCAGGAGCGGGGTGAGGAGGAGGAGGGTCCGGCGGGTCAAACATGTCAAGATGACCTGAGGAGTTTTATTTTTGTTGTTCGAGAGAGATATGATACATTTTTAAAATACAATTTATGATGTTATAAAAAAAATAAAATAAAAAAATAGCGCAGATGAAAAAAAAATGATTTTCTTAAAACACACGAATGCATTTACTCACATGACATGATGTTGTAATTTGTTTTAATTTTAAAAAATAAAAAACATTGTTTTTTCAAAACCCGAACAGGCCAGTAATGAGTATCCTATGTTCGTGTTTTGTGTTTGTATACATACATACATACATATATATATATATATATATATATATATATATATATATATATATATATATATATATATATATATATATATATATATATATATATATATATATATATATATATATATATATATATATATATATATATATATATATATATATATATATATATATATATATATATATATATATATATATATATATATATAGGGGGGGCTAAATATTTTTTTTTGCGGAGTGGCCCTTTTTTCTAGTTTCGCCACTGATTTGTAGTGAAATAACTGCACAAAAAACCCAGAAAAACAGAAAAGTGCGCATACAGAAAATTCCACACACAGAAAAATGTTCACACAGAAAAGTACGCACACAGCAAAATGCGCAAATAGAAATTTGCACACAGAGAAAAATGATCACATAGAATATTATACACAGAAAATAACACACATATCTCTTGGAAATTATGAGTACGACAATGTGTGTTGTTGTGTTTATGCGTGCGTATTTAAGTGTCTGTGTGTATGTGTGTATACATATATATTATCTTTTTATTTCTGTATATTTTAAGTGAAATAAACGAATGCTACTGCTCTTCCTAAAATGCATAGAAACATAAATAGCTACCATTTCCCGATCATACAATATACAGATGCAGTATGACCAACATCAAAGAACAACAACGCCTAAAACCAGCACCAGAAATTAAAACCTTACGTTAGAAACCAACAACTCATATAAACATCACAGTAAAACAACGCAAGCCATCATCACAGAGCAATATCAAAACACTCATACAACTGATAATAAGAAGAATTGATTCATGAATGTTTATTTATTTTTCTTTTAAATTAAAAAAAAATATTATCATCTTTAAAACTCTACATAAACAGATTTAAATCCAATGACCTTAAAACAATGAATGCGCCAAGTTAAAAGTTTAGGTTCACAAACTATCTACCAAGGTGGGTTCGTACACATTTACTCAACATAATATCTAGCGGGAATAGTTTTGACGATGGTCCCATCTAGCTCGTCCCCGGCGATCCAGTTGTTCCAGTTGATCTGGTACTGTGGTAGAAGTAAAACGGTTGATAACGGTAATATAATATAATAATATTACTTTTTAATTATAGTAAGCAACATACATTTCCAGTTTAAGACTTAATAATCCATAGGACAGATAAAGTTTAATTCAAATTATTGTAGACATGGGCAATAGGAGGAATTGTGTGGTAAGCACTATGCCCAGCCGCCTTTGCTTTCCCCAACATGAGTTAGGTACCCATCAGAGTTGGGTGTCTCATGCGAACTTAATGTCTTGTGTCTGTCTCAAGATCCGAACTCGAGACTTTCGGGCTGTCAGTTTAATCATAAGAAGACTTTATTATCAGCTCGTTAGTTTCCATTTTACCAATGGTATAGATGAACGTTTGTCCAACTTATGACCCAAACTCTATCTTTAGAATTAAATTTGTTGGTAGGCAGCAGGAATACAAAAAGACTAGAAAAAAAAAGTTTTTGCGTGAAATTATAACCATTAAGAAATGTTATCAGCAATGGTTGCTAAAATCAAACTACTTAGATTAACTTACCTCATAATAGGCAAATTGATGAAATGTATTATGTTGATATAGGCCTATGCGCACCTGGAGAAAATAGCGAAATAATATATTCGACACAATAAAACACCTCAATTTAGAAGCTTTAACATAGGCCACGGTTTCTCTTTATTGGTTTCTATATCTCTCTGTAAGGGGATGAAGGGTGGTTTTTTAGTCAAATCTTGTAACTCTTTTTCGACAAAGAGATTTTGTTAAAAATCTCTTAATAAATTTGTTTCCAAAGATTTTCCATATAATTTGATGTTTATAAGTCATTAAATGTTATTTTCTAGGCTTCTATGGCAAATAAAATCAAGGGAGATAATATTATGTAATATGTACACGGACTGAAATGAACTAACATTCTTCATACCTGACAGACGACCACGGACGATAATAATGGCAAGATTAATTTTAGATTTTTGTCAAATTTCGGAAAAACAGATTTTCAAATTTGTCCACATGTCTGTGTGTGTGTGTCTGTGCGTGTGTCAGTGTGTGAACACAATAACTTGAGTACGGTTACAGTTAGGTAGATGGCATTTCATATAAGTATTAATTCAAATTTGTATTTATTGTTATTTTATTCTACTTGTCGAAAGCCTTTAGCTTGAGTACTGTTTCTTATAGATGAAAGTTCTTTTGTAAGTAAAACATCTGATTCTCTATTATCTGTCAAATTTGAGTAATTTTATTTTACCGGAATTAATACCTTATGCTTTACTTTCTGATTTCTCAAAAAAAAATGCATATGAATTTATACACGCATTATTTGCAGTTCAATTGGTGCGCAAATCTTTTCTTCAAAGATTCTATTCTATATTAAACAGTTGAAGTATGCAGAGATTGATTATAGGCTTTTGAAAAACTAAAAGTAGAATAAGTCAGACCTCCGCTTATCGGAAATCGCTGAAAAGTTGATATAGATCTACAAATCGGATATAATACTTATATATGAAATTTCATCAACCTAGCTTTAACTGTACACACGTTATCGCGTTTAAAGACATACATACATACATACATACATACATACATACACACACACGGACAGAATTGCAAAGTCCAGTTTTTCCGACTCAATTACGCGTAAAATGCCGAAATTTTGATAAATCTAGATTTAGAATTTTTTTATAATGAATTACTGAGAAGTAAAAAGGTGAAAATTTCATGTGATTTTTTGTACACGTTTACAATATTTCCTTTGTAAAAAGTAAACATAATGTTTACACAACTAAGTGAATATTGCAACATAAAACTCACATCCTCTAGAAACCAGCCTGCTTGCCATCCACCGTTGTTATGCCCAATCGTAATTGATTTTAGTTGTCCAATAAATTCTGTAGTTCCCTGGAAAAAATTAATCCATTTTTATGTATTAGATCAGTAAATCATTTTATATAATCTAGTCGTTAAAAGATTATAAGATCGGATAATCTGATTAAATAGAATGTTTAGAATATTTTAGTGTTCTACATTTATGTACTGTATGTCCACAAGAAGCAATAGCGGAATGCAGTTGTAGTTGTATGCACATCATTGTAAGTCACTGTTTGTTAATATGCTGCAGTAATGGATCAAATCATTCTCTTATACTTAAAAATATGCAAATTTTGTCAACTTTTTTGTTTTCGAATAATAAAAGGCAGTATTTATTAAGTAATAAAGAAGCCATAAGTTGAGGGAAATTGTTCTAAATGATCATCTGAAACACTGCCTTAAGTGACCAACCCATTCACTGCCAATATACTTCCTTAAGCGACCAACCCACTAACTGCTCAATGTTATACTGTCTTTGGTGACCAAGCCACTCATTGTTTTAATACTGACCAAACCATTCACTGTTTTAAGCGACAAACCCACTCAATGCTTCTATTCTATCTTAGCAAGACAACACACACACTGTCTTGAATGACCACCCCACTCACTGCCCATATAATGTTTTGAGTGAACAACTCTCTTAAGTGTCCAACCCACTCACTGCCCAATACTGTGTGATCAATCCACTCACTGTCTTAATTCACCAACCTAATAACTGCCCTATACTGTCTTAATTGAACAACCCACTCACTTCCCCTATTGTGTCTTAACTGACCAGCAATCTTACTGCCCCTATGCCGTTTTAAATGACCAACCCACTTTCTACCAATATACTGTCTTTAGTGTCCATCACACTCACTGCCTCAACCTATCAATCCACTCACCGTGAAATAGTCGAGGCTGCCCCTCTCAAATCTTCTTCCGTCAGGGTCCCGTAGAGGTATCCTGTCGGTGGAGCCTCTATTTCCGTGCATAATAATGAAAATGCTCGCATCGGTCCCAGCGCTTTTAACAGTACCTGTTCTTACACGTATTTTATAATCCATAAGCTCTGCAAATCCTGGTGACAAATGTTATCATACCTTCATTATTGTATACAAGTAGAACTTAAACATTATTGTATTTTAAACAATTTGGGTATGTATAAAACAGATTGACTATGATATGTTTCATTAAATCGTAAATATTTGATATAAATGGTATAAGAAAATATTACAATTTAAGAAAAACATCAATTAATTACATGTTTAATTAAAACCAAAGTTTAAAACTAACCTGATTGAAACAACAGCAGCGCACAAAGCAAACCAAAGAACGATGTGATGCTCATCTTCTTTGTGTAGTTGTTGGAAGCGGTCTTAAAGTCGTTTTGGCTTTCAATCCAGTGTGAATGATCAGTCCCCTCAGCCAAGCTTTATACAGTGGCGGGCGAGAAAAGTCCAGGATGTAAAGCCCGCTGAGTGCAACGTTTGTTTTTATCATACATTATTTGCCACTTCAATTTGAAGAAATTCGTACGTCAACTCGTTTTAAGTATTTCATCAGCGATGCTGTAAAATTGGCTTATCTAGTTAACACTGCTGTAAAATGGGCTTATCTGGGTTGAAAATTGATTTGATGGGAGACCTCTTACATGTTGGTGGGCAAAGTGTATTTAATAAAGACATGTTCGGTAGAAAAAAAGTAATATATAAACTTATCCATTTTAGCTAAAAAATGCTAATTCGTGTTCATATTGATGTTCAATTTTTCGCATTTGTATTTGTGTTAGTTCTTGTGGTTGTAAAACGTTTGAGAAAAACTGTGTTAGAAGAAAATTTGAGAAACAAGATGTTAAAGGACTTTTTGAGAAACACATTGCGAAGAAAAAAGTTTGAGAAGCACTGAGTTGTAACAGAGTTTGAGAAGTACTGTGTAAGCGGAAATTTTGAGAAACACTGTGTGAACAAAAAGCTTGAGAAGCACAGTGTTAGAAGAAATACTATATTAGAATAAAATGTGTAAGAAGAGAGTTTGAGAAGCACTGGGTTAGAAGAAATTTTGAGAAGGACTGGGTTAGAACAAAGTTTGAGAACATCTATGTTTGAATAAAACAATTAACCCATCATTTTCTAAGGCCGTGAAAGTGGCGTATGTTACCCAAATCTTAAGTACTTTGTTGACCTATGCAAGGCAATAAAAAAACTACTTCAAAAAGAAAAGGGGATCTCCCTATGCCCCAGATGCACTTAAAACAAGTTTGCTGCAACGAATACAACTAAGTCCACGCTACATTCTATGTTAGCAGAAATAACCTAGCTCTAGACGACACGAAAAATGATACATTTAATTATGTGAAATGCTGCCAGCAGTTCTAAACTCTTTTAACATGAAGAAATTAATAAAATTAAATACAATTTAATGTTACCTTATAAGTCTTTTAGGGCTTGCATTGCATTTTATTTGTCCAAAATTTTTTTGAAGGGGCCAGGGACAGTGTGTGAATGGGAAGGAGGGCGGGTTTAGTCAAGCCACCCTTGGTCACCCATAATCAACCTATATCCACACAATGATGTATTATGTATATTTAGTACGAAACCCGTCATCCTATGGGGTATATTAAAAAGCCAAAAAATGTAAGAAATAAATTGTATTTTGTACTTTGTTTAGGCATTATATAAAATGTAAAACGGGTTTAACACTAAACACAACTTAAGATTGACATTACCTCAAGTTTAGGAAATGTTTATGTTTATGTTTATTTTTTATTTTATTTTTATTGTTGTTTTAAGAAACAAACATTTACAAACAGTTAACGAGTGTTGATTCATATATTCACTGTACCACGTTGTTTTTCAAAGTAGCGCAAATCATATTCATTACTAAGAATAGATGTTAGGCATTACGTAAAGTGGCTAGGGATTCCATAGAATTCCCAAGCTTAGTAGTATACTAAAAAATTATTCGAGACATTTTGTAGTCTGCTTACAAACGCCATTTATACAGTAAGCATTCACTCGTTTCTTGCTTTGTTTATTGTAACATGTATATAAAACATATCTATGATAATTACCCTGGGCCAAACGGACAGTGGGTTAAAGAATGAGGCTAGGTTAATATTTCTGGGAGAAATAATGACAGGAAGGGAATGATAGGAGGCAATCAACAGGGGTTAAATAACTAACATACTACCGATCTCACAAGAAGACACACACAACTGCACTAGTCATACGACAAGCTTTTGTAAGTATGTTAATACATTAACTAGCCACAGCAAGTATTTGCCTTGAAGGACATACTTTTTCGTTCCTTCATCAAGAAAATTATGGTTTTAGTCGTTTACCCTGTTTGGATTTCACTTTCTGTTTTAATTATCTGAACCGGAATTGAGTTCAGAACCTCATGTAGGGGCCTACTTGTTTTAATTGACAAAGTATACCGTGAACAGCTATTCCAAACGGCTCTCCACACAGGTATTGAAATGTGAGACTAGTATCTGGTGCATTGGCATTGTTAAAGGTTCACAATTCTTGTCTCCAGATTATAAAAAGTTAAATTTGTGACTTTTCACCCCTCCTGCACTACACTCGAGGTTATAAAGCTATGCCTCAGTGGCCGACCCGGTAACACATTTTTACCTCTTTTCTACGAAATGGGATCGCCCACGTCTTGCACTGACCGGATTTTCGGTTTGACAGCGACACCTTGACAATTTATGTTTTCCGCTTTTAGTTATTTTTTATTAATGTACTGTATATACATTTTGTTTGAGACTAACACACCTTTATATTGGGATGGGGGTGGGTTAAGTGTCATTGGCGGTAAGTTTTTGTACATGCTCTTCTGTAGTCCTGATGAGTAAAACGAATAATGCTTACATTATTAAATAAAAATATCATATGAAGATATTATTTTGCTTGTAGTAACGATTTTAAATTGTATCTGTAAAACAGATATCTGTAAGACATTTATGGTTTGAATGATCTTTTTGTAACACTAGAAATTCAGACAATCGGAAGCGAATTGTGAGCGACAAGTCTGAATCGTTTTCCCACTATAGTGAAAGTCTGGGGTGTATATTATTGTTACCTTGTTAGTCCTCTTTGCTCCTTTGGGCATCCACCATTTCCTTCCATTTCTTCCTATCCCCGGCTATTAATTTTGTCATCTCCTAAGACATCCTTGTTGGCTTCAGTTCTGTCTTGGGCGCCCTCTTTTCCGCTTTCCCTTGGGGTTCAACTCAAGCGCTTGGCGTGTAACATTTGGGTGAGCCTTTCGCAGTGTGTGACCTACCCAGCGCCACTTCCTCCTTATTTGCACACCCAAAGGCTCCTGCCTAGCTTTCTACCATAGTTCTATGTTCGACACTTTGTCCTGCCATCTTAGTTTCAATATCTGTCTAAGGCATCTATTCATGAAATTTTGTATCTTTGCTGTGCTTGCTTTGGAGACTCTCCATGTCTCTGCTCCATACAGCAGAACTGCCTTGACATTAGAGTTAAATATCCTAATTTTTATGGTAATGGAGATGGCCGGACTTTTCCATATTGGTCGCAGGACTGTGAAAGCGCAGCAGCCTTTATTAACTCTAGCACGTATGCCCTCCTCTGTGCCTCCCATTTTGCTAATCTTTCTACTAAGGTAGACACACTCTTGCACATCCTTTACCTGTCTTCCGTCTATTGTCACTGGGGCCTCCTGGTTATTGCTAATTCTCATCACTTCTGTCTTTTCTTTGTTGATCTTGAGACCTACGCGCAGAGAGATGGCTCCTAATGCATCAACTTTTTCTTGCATGTCTTGTAACCTGTGCAAGAGTAAGGCAAGATCATCTGCAAACTCCAGGTCTTCTAGTTTCCCCGTGAGTGTCCACTGTATACCTTTTCCAGAACTGGCATAGGCTGTGCGTGTCACCCAATCGAGAACCACTAAGAAGAGGAGGGGCGACAGCAGACATCCTTATCTCACACCTGTGTTGACCTGGAACTCTTTAGACAGTTTTCCAGCATGGCTAACTTGGCATGAAAATCCATTGTAAAGTTGCTGGATTATTTCCACTATCTTAGCAGGTACACCATAGTGTCTCAACAGATTCCATATTGTTTGCCTATCCACACTATCAAAGGCCTTCTCAAAGTCAACAAAGCATATGTAAAGCAGGGCTTGCCATTCTATCGTCTGTTCTACAATAATTCTAAGAGTAGCTATTTGATCTGTACAAGATCTTTCCCTTCTGAATCCTGTTTGTTCCTCTCTTAGCTTAAGGTCAACCACCTCTTTCATTCTGTCCAAAATAACTCTGGTAAGGACTTTACTTGGGATGGACAACAAGGTAATGCCCCTACATTATCCACACTGAGATAAGTCACCGTTCTTAGACAACTTCACAAGGAGGCCCCTCTTCCAATCGGTTGGGATCTGCCCTGTGTTCCAGACTAAGTTAAGTAATTTATGAAGTCGATTTACAACTTCTTCTCCACCTTGCTTTAATGACTCTGCTGGGATAGTATCTGGTCCTGATACCTTGTCACTCTTCAAACTATTTAAGGTGTTGAGAATTTCCTGTCTAGTGATTTCCTCGGTATTGATGTTAAGGGGTTCCCCTGGCTCCAAGTCTGGTGGATCTTGAGGTGCTGGACCGTTTAGTATTTCCTGGAAGTGCTCTCTCCATCGTGCCAATTGTTCCTCAATTAGGTTGTATATTAAGTGTAATATATGTACCAAAGGTGTGCAACCAGTCAGTTATCATATTGGACGTATTCGACCACATGGGTAGATGTACTTGACGAACATACACGAATACATACTCGAGCACACACAGTCTCTCTCTCTCTCTCTCTCTCTCTCTCTGTCACTTGCTCTCTAATACATACATATATATATATATATATATATATATATATATATATATATATATATATATATATATATATATATATATATATATATATATACAAACTCTGCTAACAAGCATCAAATATTACCAGCATCATATATTAAAACTATACATTAGAAACCAACACCACATATCAACATCAAAAGTCCAACAACGCAAGCCATCATCACAGACCAATATCAAAACACTCATTTGACTGATGTAATAAACAACAATTAGAATAATTGATGAATGAAAACAGATATTTATTTTACTTTTTAAAGTTTTATGAATGTATTTAATATTTTTAAAACTCTACATAAAACATTTGGATTCAATAACTCTAAAACTATCTCAACTTTTAAAACAATGAATTCGCCCAGTTAAAAGTGTTAGTTCACAAACAATCTCCAAGGTGGGTTTCCTAACTTGCAACTGAAATGGTTTTGACAATGGTCCCGTCTAGCTCGTTACTGGCGATCCAGTTATTCCAGTTGAATTGGTACGCGTTAAATCCAGGCTCCTGTGTTTGAAATGAAACAGTTGATAACGATGATTTAATATATATTTTTTAATGTAGTAGGTAAAATACATTTCCTGTTTAAGACCTTATGATCCACAGGGCAGAAGAAGTTTAATTAAAAAGTTTCTAGCCCTAGGCATTTGGAGGAATGGTGTGCTAAGCACTATGCCCAGCCGTTTTTAGTTTCCCCAACATGAGTTAGGTACCCATTAGAACTGGGTGAACTCGGGTCAATCTGTAGTCTTGAGTCTGGACCAAGATCCGACCTCGAGACCATAGGGTCAGTAGTCTAGCGTTCCACCACACCACCATGTATTAATCATATTAAGACTTTTGTTGTAATCAGCTCCTTTGCTTCCATTTTACAAATGGGATAGATAAGAGTTTGTCCAACTCATGAACCAAACCCTATCTTTAGGATAAAGCCGATGGCAGGCAGCAGGAATACAACGGCCACACAGTCTAGCAAAAAAAAGTACTAAGGCAGTTCTCTTCCATTAAACTATCTCTAGTAAATTTTTTTCCACAACTATAGATATCTTAGTGTTAAAAACAAAGTAGCAAATCGTTTTTGCGTATAATTATAAAAATTAAGAAATGTTATGCCCAATGGTTGCTCAATGTAAGCTACTCAGATTAACGTACCTGAATATGTTCATAACCCGGTTCCACGTTCTGATATATGCGCACCTGAAGAAAATAGCGGAATAAAATATTCAACACAATAAAACAATTCAGAATCCCTAACATAGGCCACGGTTCTGTTTGTCAGTTTCTATACCTCTGTGTAAGGGTATTGTGGAGGGTGGGTTTGTGGTCAAATCCTGTAAATCGTTTTTGACACATAGATTTTGTAAATTTTCAAATAAATTCGTTTCCATAGATTGTCCATCTAATTAGATGCTAATACGTAATTAAATGTCGGTTCCAAGATAACTACTGTAATTAACATAAGGGAAATCAATATGGTTTAGTACTAGCAACCCCTCCCCCCCCCCCATCAGTCAGGGGACTGAAGTGAACTCATTTTCTTCATAACTGACGGTTGGCTGTGGGCAAAGTGACTTATAGGGCGGATGAAGTAGAGTTCATCTATTGTTAAAAACCTATTATATTATTTTTAAAATTCGTAATTTCTAAAAAACTATTAAATATGTCAAACCTTCATGGCTATTTTGCTTCAAAACACTGAAGTTCAGATTTAAAAAAATTTCTTTGCAAAAGCCATGGTCTCTAAAATGTTTATACGAATTGATGAACGACAAATGACATTTTCAAAACCAAGGACGATGTATTTGGCAATTCATATAAACAAAATAAACTAAATGTTAACCCATCAAAGTGAATAATACAACATGATACTCACATCTCTTAGAAACCAGCCTGGTCTCCACATTTTGTTGTCATGTCCAATCGTAATTGATCTTAGACGTCCTACATTTTCTGCACTTACCTGGAAAAAATTAATCCAATTTCATATATTAGAACAATCAATCTTTTTTATTTTATACTGTCGTTTAAAGATACTAGGATTTGATAATCTGGGCTATATTAAAAAGAATGTTTAGAAACATTTAATTTGTTGCATTTTTGTATTGTATGTCAATCACAGTACTACACGCTATAGTATATTGCTGTTGTAGTTGTATGCACATTGTAATCACGATTGCAGGTCACTATTTGTTAATATGCTGCAGTAAAGGATACAATCATTTCGTATCATTATATATATGCCCATTTTATTCAATTATTAGTTTTGTATAACATTAGGTAGTATTTATGCAGTATTAGAGAAACCATCAGTTGAGGGAAACTGTCCGTTATTACTAATCTCTCACTTCCTTAATACTGTCTTAACTGACCAACCCACTCACTGTCCCAACTGACCAACCCACTCACTTCTCCAACTGACCAACCCACTCACTGTCCCAACTGACCAACCCACTCACTGCCCCAACTGACCAACCCACTCACTGCCCCAACTGACCAACCCACTCACTGCCCCAACTGACCAACCCACTCACTGCCCCAACTGACCAACCCACTCACTGCCCCAACTGACCAACCCACTCACTGCCTCAACTGACCAACCTACTCACTGCCCCAACTGACCAACCCACTCACTGCTCAACTAACAAACCCACTGATTACCCCAACTAACCAACCCACTCATTACCCCAACTGACCAACCCACTCACTGTCCCAACTAACCAACCCACTCATTACCCCAACTGACCAACCCGCTCACTGCCTCAACTACCCCACCTACTCACCGTGAACGAGTCGAGGCTGCCCCTCTCAAATTTGTCTCCCTCATCGTCTGGTAGACCTATCCTGTCGGTAGAACCTCTAGCCCCGTGCAGGATAATGTAAATTCTTGCATCTGTCCCAGCCCCCGCAACATCACCTGTTCTCACATTTATTCTGTACAGGATATGCTCTGTATATCCTGGTGACAAATATTATCATAACTTTATTATTGTATACAGATAGAGTTTAAACAAAATTGTATTTGTGTTTATTTGGGTATATATAATAAAGATTGACCATGTTATGTTTCTCTTTATCTTATATGTTTGATACCAATGGTATTAGAAAATATAACATTTTAAAACAAAACAATAAAAATTACATGTTTGATTAAAAGTAATTTTTTATAATCTTTCAAAACTAACCTGAGTGAAACAACATCAGCATACAAAGCAAACCTAAGGACGATGTGATGCTCATCTTCTTTGTGTAGCTGTTGGAAGCGGTCTTACAGTCGTTTTGGCTTTCAATCCAGTGTAAATGATCTGGCCCTACAGACAAGCTTTATACAGTGACAGGCGAGAAAGGTTCAGGATGTAAAGTTGAGTGCTCTGTTTTTATCATACAGTAATTGCCACTTCAATTTTAAGAAATGCGTACGTCAACTTGTTTTAAATATTTCATCAGCGACGCTGCAAAATGTGCTTATCTAGTTAGCGATGCTGTAAAATGGGCTTACCTAGTTAGCGATGCTGTAAAATGGGCTTATCTAAGTAGAAAATTAAATTATTTGATGGGAGACCTCTAAAATGTTGGTGGACAAAATTTATTTAATAATGAGACGTTCGGTAAAAAAAATGTAATACTTACACAGAACCATGTAAGCTACAAAATACTAATTCATGTTCATGTTCATATTCATATTCATGTTAAAATTTTCGTATTTTTGTTTGTGTTAGTGGTTGTAGTAGTGAAAAGTTTGAGAAGCACTGAGTTAGGAAAATTTTGAGAAGCACTGTCTTAAAAGAAAGTTTAAGAAGCACCGCATTAAAAAAAAATAATTGAGAATCACCTTGTTAGAAAAAAAGGTTGAGAAGCACTGACTTTGGAGAAAGTTTTAGAATCACTGAGTTAGAAGAAAGTTTGAGAATCACCGTTTTGGAAGAGGATTGAGAACTTCAGAATAAAAAAAAAAGCAACGCATTAATCATTAATGGCCTTGAAAGTGAAGTACGTTACCCAAATGTTAAGTACTTTGTTGACCTATGCAAAAAAAAATATACTTAAAAAGAAAAGGGGATCTCCCTATGACCCAGATGCACTTAAACAAGTTTATATTTTGCTAAAGGATGTCTTGTATAGCTGAATATGACAGAATATTTTCGGACGGCGTTGTTGGGTGGGAAATCGTTATGTTTCTTATCTGCCGAAAACATTTGGACAGTGTGTGAGTGGGAAGGGGAGGGGTTTAGTTAAACATCCATTGGTCTCCTATAATCAACCTATAACGATACATTGATGTGTCAGGTACATATAGCTCACGAAATTCGTCATTCTATGGGGAATATTAAAAAGCTAAAAATATAAGAAATAAATTGCATCTCGTATTTTGTCTAGGTTTTGTATGAAATGTAAAGCGGGTTTAACCCTAAGCACAACCTAAAAATGACATTACCTCAAGTTTAGGTAATGAGTAAATTTATATTTTTTATTTTCGTTTCTATTCTTTACTAAGAAGAGTTGCTAGGCATTCCTTAAAAGGCCTTTAGAGATTCTTAAGCTTAGTTGTATACTGTAAAAATTATTCGAGATATTTCTTAGTTTGCCTACAAATACCATGTATACAAAAGGCATTCGCTTGTTACTTGCTTTGTAACTTGTACCACACACACACACACACACACACACACATATATATATATATATATATATATATATATATATATATATATATATATATATATATATATAAAACATATCGATAAAGGTGTAATTGCCCTCGGGCAATCAGACAGTGGGTGAATTAATAAGGCAGTTGTGCGCTGACGAAGACCACGGGTCGAAACGTCCATAGCAAATGTAATTGTCTGTAACTTGTGAGGTAACTAATATTATCTGTTTTATTAGTAATCTATGTATATAAAAAGCAATGTATGTATGTCTGTCTGTCTGTCTGTTTGTTTTTTATGTATTACTACACCGATCCTAGGTGCGCCAAACTGGTTTGGAAAAAAGTTAAAAGCTCATTTTAGCTGCAATTTTGATTTATAAATCTAAAAAATATTTGGGGGATGGGGAGGGGTCGCTACCAATGGCGTAGCTAGGTCGGGTTTTACACGGTGCGGCACCTTATGGTGTCAACTCCCCTCACCATTTTTTTTTCATTTAGTTTTGCAGTTGGTGCCACTCCCCCCCCCCCCCCCCATATCTGGTTGTAGCATTGTTTTCTCTATAGTTTTAAAGTTAGCGTCATGCTGTTTTTAAACTATAATTAATCATTAATCGTCGAACTGGCAAAAAACATTTATTCTATATATCTTGTAATTTTTTTGGCTTGGTGTCACCCCCTCCTAAATGGTGTCACCTAGTGCGGTCCGCAACCCCCGCCCACGCCTCACGACGCCTCTGTTCGCTACGCCTCTGGAATAGTTAGAGCAACTTTGTTTTAAAATTGCATAAAAAGATATTAAGTTGCAGTGAGTAACGGTTTTAAAAATGTAATCTGTTAAAGAAAGTATGTCCAGTTATTTAATGTTTTGAATGATCTTTGTGTAACACTATAAAATCAGACCAACGGAAGCCAATTGTGAGCGACCAATTTGAATTCTTTTTCCCCAGCTTTGCTCATTAATTGTAGTCAGAGTCTTGGGTGTTTATTATATGTACGAAGGGTCTAACAACTACATTGCCGACATATAGGACGTATGCTATAAATATGTTAGTATTGAAAACAATGTAACAAATAAAGTTTTTGCGTATAAATATAAACATTAAAAAATATTATGATTAATTGGTGTTAGTAGTAAGTTACTCAGATTAACGTACCCTATAACCAGAAGGTCCTGAGTACAGATATATTTTCACCTGAAGAAAGTAGAGGAATAATATATTCAACACAATAAAAACTACATTTAGAAGCTTTAGCTTAGGCCACGTTTCAGTTGCTGGGTTTCTATATGGTGCAAAAATCGCAATCGAGATTTTCAAAAATCTCGACGTTCTAGACCTCTCTGAGTCGGAATAACATTATTTTCCAATCTTGTCCGTATGTCTGTATGTGTGTGTGTGTCTATCTGTCGGTCTGTCTGTATGTGTGTCTGTGAATACAATAACTTGAGTACCGTTATAGCTAGGTTGATGAAATTTTATATAAAAGTATAACATTACATTTTATTATGTTTATTTTATTCTACTTTCAATTTTTTTAAAAGTCTATAGATGAAATTTCACTTATGTGCAAAATTCTTTGTTATATATATAATTTCCTTTGAAGTAAAAAATAACAAACAAATAAATTTATACCGTACTAAAACGCAAACCATAGAACGATGTGATGCTCATCTTATTTGGTTAGTTGTTGGAAAAGGTCTTAAAGTCGTTTTGGCTTCAATCCAGTGTGAATGATCTGGCCCTACAGCCAAGCTTTATACAGTGACAGGCGAGAAAGGTTCAGGATGTAAAGGCCGCTGAGTGCAAAGTTTGTTTTTATCATAAAGTATTTGCCACTTCAATTTGAAAAACTTCGCACGTCAGCTTTTTTAAGTATTTAATCAGCAATACTGTAAAATGGGCTTATGTAGTTAGCGATGCTGTAAAATGGGCTTATCTAGTTTAAAAAAAATTATGTTGTTGGGAGACCTCTCAAATATTCTTTGGCAAAATGTATTTAATAAAGACATGTTTATGTAATTTAAAAAAAAATCATGTTATGTTTAATGACGTGTTTGTGTTAATGTGGTTTGTGGTTGAGAAAAGTTTTAATAGCACTGTGCTAAAAGAAAGTTTGAGAAGCACTGTTAGAAGAAAATTTGAGAAGCTCTTTTAAAAAGAAAGTTTCAGAAGCACTGTGTTAGAAGAAAATTTGAGAACCTCTAAGCTAGAATAAAACAAGCAACGCATCATTTTTTTAAGGCAGCTCAAGTGACGTACGTTACCCAAACGTTAAGTACTAAGAGTATTTGTTGACCAATGGTAAAAAATCTGCTTTAAAAAAAGGAGGATCTTCCTATGGCCCAGAATAACTTAAAACAAGTTGATAATTGGTTAAAAAGTATGTCCTGTTTTTATAGTAGAATATGGCAGAATAATTAGGGACGGAGTATTTCAGAGTCGTAGCGACCGATTCTTGCACCCGGGGCAAACGCTCAATTTTGGCAATTCCGCCCACCCCTTTTTAAGAAGGTTGTTCACGTTGGTAATAAGATTTTAAACGCTTTTTACTCGTCATTTTATCTTAACAGTATTTAATTTGATGACACAGTTGATTTAGAAAGCTGTTTAAACTGTCTGGAATGTTAAGTTTTTTTTTTTTTTTTCAAACTTTGACTGTGTATATTTCAGTAATGCAACTTAGTATATGCTCAGAGATAAAACTCCAAAATTAATTTGATAGTAGCAGAGCCCCTACGGCAGCAAGATCAGTAACTCTGGCTTTCTTTCAGAACTTCTAATGATTCGCTTTTTTTCTGGGCTATACAGGCAAAGGTTGAGTGAGGATTCAAAGGCTGGCAACCCATCATCTTTTTATCTAATACCCTGGCACGCACCGAGAGAATCTCACTTCTATTTCCATTGACTCCCGTTCCAAATTTCAGTCTAATCCAGATTATGCTAACATTATTCAGTCAAATAAGTCATAATAATACAAAATAAATGTACCATTCAAAAAACTTTAAAATACAACTGACAATATACAATTATTTTTTATTTCCAACAATGAATACAACAAAGTCCACGCTACTTTCCGTGAATGTGGAAATGACCCAGCTGTAAAGGACACGAAAAGTGATTCATGTAATGCTGGCAGCAGCTCTGAACATTTTTGGCATGGGTATTTCAATAAAATTAAATACAATTCAGAGTTCGCTTTTTTTCGCCATGATTTGCAATAATAGGTTGAGGTCTTACATTGTTTTTGTATGTCCAAGGACAGGTAGAGTGTGTGAGTGGGAAGGGGGGGGGAGTGGGGTTGAGTAATGCTTCCATTGGTCTCTCATAATTAACCTGTAACCATGTAATGATGTATTAGTTATATATAGCACGATACTTGTCGTTCCATGGGTTATATTAAAAAGCCAAAAATGTAAGAAATAAATTATATTTCATACATTCTCTATGCATTATAACCCTAAACACAACCTAAAAATGAAGTTACGTTAAGTTTAGGTTATGCATACATTTTTATTTTTTCATTTCGTTTTAATAACAAACATTCACAAACCATTATTGAGCGTTGATTCCTATGTTCAAACTGTTCAAACTGTTGCAAAGATGTTGGGACATTCCGTAAAATGTATAGGGATTCCTAAGAACTACTATAAAGATTATTCGAGTAATTTCGTAGTCTGCCTACAAA